TTCTGAGGAGTGCCTGGTGGGCTTGAACTGCCATTCTTCTGGTTAGCAATAAAATGTCTTTATATGTATACTTGATTTATGAAAAAGTGACACCGAGTACTAAAAAAAAAAAAAAAAAAAATGGTCACCTAATTGAATGACTCATAGCAACCCTATAGGATAGAGTAGAACTGCTGCCATAGGGTTTCCAAGGCTATAAATCTTTATGCAAACAGACTACCACATCTTTCTCCCCAAGAGTAGTCGCAGGGTTTGAACTACCAATCTTTCATTTAACAGCCAAACACTTAATCATTGCACTACCATGACACTTCAGAGTAGTAGGGATGAGGGTGGCATGGATAGTGTTTTCAATCAGTGATGCTGGGAGAATTTGAAATCAATATGGAAGAAAAAAAAAGTTAAACAACACTTAGCTCACAATAAATACAAAAATCAATTAAAAGTTGTGGTAAAATAAATTCTTTTATGTAGCCTTTTACCTTGACTCTTTAGAAAAAAAAAAAAGCTTGGGAGATTTTTTTCCTCTAATCCCTGAAGAGTTGTCTTTGCTCCAGTTCTTTGGAGAAGCAGCTTGGAATCAAGCTAGGGACTACCAGGTTATTTTTTACCCCAGAAAGTTTGTTCTTTTGTCCAGGTTCATTGACATTTCCTGGTAAGCTGTAAATACCTTGACAATTTTTATACTTTTGCATGGCTCTGGCTGCAGCCTGCCCTGTGATTGGTCTATTTTGCATACCTTGCAGGAGCTGGCTGATTTGCTATGCAAATGTTGTTGTTGTTGTTATGTGCCCTCGAGTCAGACCTGACTCATAGCGACCCCTCCTTGGGTTTCCAAGGCAGTATCACTACGGAAGTAGATTGCCCCATCTTCCTTCCGAGGAGTGGCTATGCAAATAGTGGCTTGCAATTATACTCAATAGGATTTAGTGACTTGAGGGGATTGGTCAGTTTGTGGTCCTGCTGAGAGGGACATGCCTGGAAATTGATTAAACAAAAAAAAAAAAAAAAAAAACTCACTGCCGTTTAGTAGATCCAAATCATGGTGACTCCTTCTTGGGTTTTCGAGGCAGTATCTCTATGGATGTAGATTGCCCAGTCTTTCTTCTGAGGAGTGGCTGGTGGGTTTGAATTGCCAGCCTTCTGGTTAGCAGTCAAATGCCTTAGGCACTACGCTACAAGAATGCCTCTGAAATTGACTAGGAGTTTGCTTATACAAGCAGCAAATCCCACAAAGGTTTTTAGAGGCAAGCAGACAAGAAAGAAGAGAAACCTTCTAAAAGAGTTGTAATATTGGTCAAGGGCTACAACTCTGATGGTGGCAGGAGGAATAGAAGGGACTCTGTGGCAGAGAGCTGGTGGCAATGGCAGAAATCTGCTGCTAGGGGAGCAACAGACAAGCAAGCTGCTATACTGGCTATCGGCTAGGCCAGGTAGCAGTGGAGAGGCTGACAGCAAGGAGGCTGAAGGTAGAGGAGGCCTGTCTGCTTGCATGGCTGAGAGAAAGGCCTGCTAGCATTGCCAAGAAGAGTCTGAGAGAGCTGTCCTGGTTGAAAGCTGTCCTGTCTGAAGAGAGGAAGGGTGTGCTGTCTAACTTAGGGGATGATTCCAAGTCTACCTATGTACCTCCTCATCTCAAGTTGCTCCTATTACTTCCAATTTGATCTTGATCCCAAGTTGTAACCTGTTATTTCCCTAATAAATCACACAACTGTGAGAATGGTCTGTGAGTTCCATGTGGCCATAACAAGTATTGAGCCCAGCAGAGGGGTATAGAGTGCTGTGGTTGGAATGGCTGGTGTTAAAACTGGTGAAGAAGTTGGAGAGTGGAAGTATGTCTGACCTCCACCTCATAGGAGCCAACCTTGTGTTGATTCTGATCCCTTATGCATTTAGGTAATTCCTTATGCTGCAAAACACAAGCAGATTGTAGAGTTAAATATGAAACATAAGACAATATAGCTTCTAGAATGTTACATAGGTGAATATCCTCATGACCTGGAAGATAACATTTGTTAAAAGGGAAATCGGTATGTTGATTTTATCTAACCAAAAAAACTCACTGTCATCAAGTTGATTCTGACTCATAGTGACCACCTTTAGTTTTCCGAGACAGTAAATCTTTATGGAGGTAGATTGTCCAGTCTTCCTTCCATGGAGTGCCTAGTGATTTTGAACCACCAATCTTCTGGTTAGCAGTCAAATGCCTTGGGCACTATGCCACCAGAACTCCTTTGATTTTATCTATACAGTGAAAATAAATAAAAGAAAGGAAGGAAGAGACAAGAAAAAATCTCAGATTGGTTTGGGAAAAAGGAATTTTGCCTTCATTTTCCTGGGTTAGCTCCAGATCACTGGCTGCTAACAGGCAGGTGAGGGTATTCTGGGTGGGTTATCAAAGGAAACAGTTTCAGAAGACCTATGATTTTCTCATACTTTGGCAAGTAGCAACTGAGGTTTTAAAGCTTACAAGCAGCCATCTAGATGCAACAATGAGTCTCTCCTCATTCAGAGCAAAGAAAAATGAAGATGCATGGAAACAATTAGTCCAAGGGACTAGTAGACCATGAGATCCTCAACCTATATATGACCATGAGACCAGAAGAACCAGATGATGCCCAGTTATCACTGTCAACCACTCAAAGGGTGATCATTGCAGGAGATCCTGGATAGAGTGGGAGAACAATGTAGAACAAAACTTAAAATCATTAAAAAAAAAAAAAAAAGGAAGAAAAAAGACCAGGTTTGCTGGTCTGATAAAGCCTGGTGAGATCTCCTGAGACTATAGCCCTAGTTACCCTTCAGGTCTGAAAATGAACTCACTCCTGTGCCTTACAGCCAAACATTAGAAAGACATATGGGGTGAACATTTACATCAAGTAGATACACTCTTTGGAGCAATCTGCTGTGTTTGCACAGGGAGATAGCTTGGGGGGTGGGAGTGCATGGGAGGAAAGGACACAGGGAAGAGGTAACTATGGGGAGGAAGTGGGAAGAGAGCTGTTACATTGTGGGGAATTGCAGTCAATGTCATGAGACAAAATGTGTACAAACTGCTGTATGGAAAATGAATTTCCTCTGTAAACTTTCACCCAAATCACATGTACTGAGGGGTTGCTACAAGCTAGGTGCACTTCTAAGGATTATACATGTTATTTCATTTCACTTTTATGAAAACCATATGAGAAGGTGAAAACCACATATGAGGACTTCACTATTATTATTTGTATTTACAGATAAGGAAACTGAAACTCTGAGACATGAATAATGGTCAGGTGAAGTTAGAGAGCCAGGATTTGAACTATATCAGAGCTTGGACCTTTAGCCACTTTACTACACAAAAGTGAGCACCTATAAAAACAATAATAGGTGAAGCTTTCCCAGCTCAGAGTCCTCTGTGGTCACACCAGAATAGAAGGGAGAACAATTAAGGAAAGGTCACCTTTCCATAGACGTCCTTCCTAACATTCTTTTCTGGGTTTGGGGCTGCTCCTCTGCACTCCCCCAGCTCTATGGGTGTCCTTATCAGACTACTTACCACATTGCAACATAACGGCCTGCAGGCTCCACCATCTGCACCACAGAACTGGGTTCAGCTGTCCTTGCCATCACTGTATCCCCAGTGCTTAGTCCAGAAACTAGTACACATTCAATATTGTTGAAAAGAATGCATAAAGGAAGACATGAAAAAGAAAAACTATTTACTTGTCTGTCCCATCACTGGTTTGGGAGTCCTCAGTCAATTGTGTCTGGCATGCAGGAGATGAGGCACATAAAAGGGACCCCAACCAGAGGTAAAAACCTACTTTCCCCTGTCACCTTCTCCAGTTGGTAGGTCGGCTGAGAGTATGAGGAGCAGAGATATCTGTGTTTGGGGATGGAGAATGGGGCAAAGGGTAAGGAAGGTGAAGAGAAGAAGGGGTAAGAGAGAAGGCAGGAAAGAACAGATAGCAGAAATCATGTTATTAACGAGGAAGAAAGCAATACAGGAAAAAGGATTGAAGAGCAGAGAAAATACTAGCAGTTTCTGACCTAGGACCAAATAAATATCATTTAAACAAAGACAATACTAGTAGACACTTTTAAAGGAAGTTCTTTTCCCTCCTTCTTTTCCTTCTCCCTCTTCTGCTAATCTTCCCTCTCTTTCTCCTGCTCATCTTCTTCTTCATCTTGTTTTTAATTTCCCTAAAATCTAGAGGCTTTGAACTTAATGTTCTAGCCAGTGAGAAGCAACTGACATTTGGAGTAAGGGTATAATTTGCATTCTAAATGAAAACCCTATAAAATATCTGAGATTTGGTCATGAGTCAAGACTGATACCATACACACTCTGTTTGTACCAATAATACATTGCAGATGATTTAGCCACTCAGGTCCATTTTGAATAACTACCTGAATATGGGAGCCCAGAAGACCAAGAAGAGTTACCATAATCACAGGCCTGCCAGCCCCATCTATCCCTAAAGAGAATGCCTCAACCACTAAGGCTGGAATATGCATGATATGGGCAATGTGAATATTTCCACTTCTTTTGTGCACCTCAAAAATTTGACTCTTTTCTTCTTTAAGATCTTCACCTGGGAGATGCAAATTCATCAGTCCAGGTGGGTAAGTTAGAAAGAGTTAGGGCGAAGTGTGTCCCTTCTCCCTTAATTCCTCTGGCTATTTTAAGAGCTACATGCAAGGAGGAGGGTGACATGTTTCTCTGTCATGACTCCTGAGCCCTGACATTCCAAGCACAAAAGGGGCTGAAGTAGAATAAATCAGAACAAGAGACATTCTTTAGAAATATCCTACATTTTTCCAGCCTCTGCAGTAAAAGAATTCGCAGAAAAAAAGCTTTGAATTTACATGATTTATTTTCCTCTCCTCTGCCATCATAAAGTACAAAGTTATTGGTAGAATACATGTCATTAGCATTTTCATTACTGGATGAGATGTTCCCCATCCTTGGGATCCAAGCTTTGGGAGAAGAGTTCTCTGCCCATACAGTGAAGCTCTCATTTGTAGAACAGGAGCACTGTTGCCTCGGTTATCTCCCAGCTACTGCTGTGACCAATGGGAGCTCCATATCCATTCCAGTCGAAACCAGAGAAATCCCCACACTGCCAGGGACTGGACTCTGTGAAGTATCGTCCTCCACCAATGCAACGTTGAAACAGAAGGACAAGAGGTGTTAATGAGAAATCTAGTAGTGAGGTCATTGGCATATAAATAGCCAAATACAGTGGGATTTTGGGTTCTAATCCAACTTAGCATCACCATCTCCAATGATGATGTTGGCCTCTTCCTCCCATATAACTCTCTCTTCCTTTAGCCTTAGTGATTTTTTTTTTTTTTTTTTCATCTTTAGTGATTTTTTGTCTCCTGACATTCCTTTGACTTTTCTGAACATTCATTCTCAGGTCCAATTGATGAACTTTTCCTTCATGAAGCTCTTAAGGGCTATTCTCCTTAAGAGAGAGGCTATTCCTCTATCTTAGAGACTGCATGTCCCTTTAGCTTCAGTTCCTAATTATTTCCTGATGCTACCAGATAGGAGCTCTGGTGGCATAGTGGAGACCTCTGCTAACCAGAAGGCTGGCAGTTCAAACCCACCAGCCACTCCTCGGAAGGAAGGAAGGTTGGGCAATCTACTTCCACAGAGATATCATCTCAAAAACCCAAGGAGGGGTCGCTATGAGTTGGATTCAACTCCACGGCAGTGAGTTTGGTTGTTTTTGTTTTGTTTTGTTTTGTTTTGTTTTGTTTTTTTGGTTTACTAGGCCAGATGCTATAGGCCCTGATATCCAACTGCTACTTGGATCTCTACACCAGGCACCTCAAAGTCAACAAAAAAAAAGGAACTAATTATATCCTTCATTGGTCCCAAACCTGTTCCTCATCCAGGCACCCTAACTTGATAAATGACACTCAATCACCCAAGGGAAAAACTTGAAGTTACTCAAAACTTCTTCATTCCCCATCTCTTATATTCAGTTGGTGAAAAAGAGCTTTTGATTCCATCACTTTAGATCTTTGGAATTCATCAATACCTGGCAATTCCCATGGACACTGACCTAATTCAGGCCTTCATCTGAACTATCACATCTGTTTCAATACTAGTCTCCTTGCCCCTAGTCTTTTTCTGCTAAAATCTGTTCCCACTATGCTACCAGGGTGACCTTTGTAAAACACAAAACATGATCTGGTCACTCCATTGAAAATGTTTTAATTGCTCCCCATCAACTACTGCATGAAGTCCAAAATCATTGGCATAATGGAAAAGTCTTGCCAAGACCCAGCTCCCATTCACATTTCCAACATCAGACCCTGACTCTACCCAACATGTATTCCGTGCTCCAAAATTACAAAGCAGCTTGCTGTTCCCTCAAGTCACGAGGCACTCTCAAAGGTTAATGACAGTAAAGACACTATTCATTCAACCTAAATTGCACTTTATAAATTTCTATACATCTCTCAAGACTTAGCTCAGAAGTTATCTTCCCTACAGTCACTGCTCCTGACACCCTCAGCAGAGTTAAATGCTCACTTAACCCTCACTTATATTTCAATTACACCTCAGACTCCTAAGATTATCATTGTGTGTCTGTGTGAATGTGTGTCCTTCTAGACACTGAACAAAGATCATGTCATCTTTGTGTCTCTTGCACAAGCACAGACTGGATGCTGAATGCACACTTTAAGGAATGAATAGATGCATGTAGGGACACATGCATATGACAAGTTTTGAGTGACAGTGGGAAGCAGCCATGGAGTCAGGTTGTCACAGAGAGGACATCTGCAAAGAGACTTGCACCCTTGAAAACCACACACTCATCATTCTTCCATCACCATCGCTGGTCCTCCCTGATGGTGAAGCTGCCTCATCCTGACCGGGAAAGGGACAAGCCAATTGCTGAGGAACAAAGGAAAAATGGAGCTTTTAGGGTCACCAAAAACAACCAAAGATCCATGCCACAGACTGTTAAAATTGAGGAAGGGCGAATCCCAAATGAGCATGCTTCCTCTTGACAGCATGGACTTTAGGAAACCCATGGGTTCCCTCCTCATTATTCCCTTGGCCACAAGACTGGAAAAACACAATGAGTGTCTAACAATCTCTAGTCAAGAGAAGACATCAAAGCTGCTTCAGGTGAGAGCCATGTCCTCCTGGCTGAGAACCAATCTTCGTGGTGCTCTCTGGCCAGGTGACCTCTACTTGTGCTGAGAAGAAAGGATGGCTTGAGTTATGTGTCCAAGACTCTCCCAGTAACACACCCAAGCAGAGTGTTTGTCTGAACAAGCCTGAGTTAGGGCTTGGGGGGCCAGGTTTTACTGTGAAAAGCTAAGCTTCATGTAGGGAATGACAATGCTTCATGTTTCTCATGCTATCTCAGCTCTGGAAGACTTCTACCAAGTGTTTCTGTGCACAAGCTTCACCCCAACTGTAAGCAATGAAGATTTTTACCCTAAAGGCTGAGCAGCCAGCAATGGTGTTTTTGAAGCCCCAAACCTTTTGTCTTAGTCCTCAAAAGCATAGAGTCTCTATACCTGGAAAACAGAGCTCACAGCTCTTACCCTTGAGACCCAGTAAGAAGCAAGGGAAGGTCACACACACATACACTCCCACCACAATCCACACTCAACACACACACACCCACAAACACATGCTGACCAACTCAAACCTTACACTTTTGCCCTTGAGTCCCCAAAGAGATTCAGGTGCTCAGTGTAATATCCTGTGACTCTCATTCCAAACATTGACTGCTCCCTTGTTATTAAACCCCCTAAAATGGTCCAATACTGCTGTGAACTCCTCTGAAAATAAGAAGTAGGAAATGGAACAGTATTCAAGGAAACCAGTATGAAAAAAAAACAGAATGAAACCCACTGCCATTGAGACAACTCCAACTCATAGCTAACACCATTGGGTTTCCAAGGCTATAAATCTTTATAGAAGTAGATTGCCTCATCTTCCTCCTGTGGAACAGCTGGTGGATTTGAACCACTGACCTTCTTGTTAGCAGCCAAATGCCTTACCCACTACACCACCAGAACTCAGTATTCAAGGAAGATGCTGGAAATAACTTCCTATAGGCCACTCTAAGATGTCCCTAGGCAAAAGCCCTGGCTGCAGCCCAACACTGAAGCCTGAACTAGTGAAGCCCAGCCAGTGGCTGATACAACTTTGAAAACAAAAGAGAAAAAATGTCATCTAGTTGATACCAATTCATAGCAACCCAATATGTGTCAGAGTAGTATTGTGCCCTATAGGGTTTTCAATGGTTGTGAGCTTTTGGAAGGAGATCGCCAAGCCTTCCTTCCAAGGCCTCTCTACATCTTGCTAAGGAACCCTGGTTGCACAATGATTAAACACTCAGCTGCTAACAGAAAGGTTGGTGGTTCAAACCAACCCAGCAGCTAATCTATTCTTTTAAAAATTACAGCCTAGAAAACAGCACAGGGCACTTCTGCTATTTCGCATGGGATCGTTATGACTTTAAATTAACTCCACAGCATCTAACCACAGCAACATCCCTTGCTGTTTGTTGAACTCTATACAGCTTTTGAGGTACAGCACAACTGTCACTTTCCCTTGAGGATCAACTATGTGGAACTGACAGTTAGGAGATCCTCTATTGTGTTCCCAGAGCCTTTTGTTTGTATTTCTATTCTAGTTCATAGCACATGAGAATGTAATTATGCATTTGCATCTCTGCTCCATTCAATCTGAGCTCCATACAGGAAATGATGATGTCTAACACCTATCACATAGTATGGGCACTAATTTTAAGGAAAAGCCAGTGCACAAGGCATAGATACAAGCATACATTAACGAACAGTGTAAGGGAACATGGAGGTCAGTATAGACAACTGTCGTCAATGAAGAGAAAAGGCATACCCACACCCCAGCCCACTGCCTGTACCCCTGTCATTCTCTGAAGCGTAGTGTATAGGGCCCCTACATGACAGCACAGCCTCATCTTGGCTGGGAAACTGACAAAATGTTGGCTTGCAGGAAAATGAAAATGGACCTGTGACTTTAGGCTTGCCTTCCAGGAACCAAGGCCCTTTCTCAGCCTATCAGTTACAGGAAGGGAGAGGGTCCTAAGTAAGTTACTTCATTCTTGATGGCTCTGACTCCTTCCTGCCACCATTCACAGAAGTCCCTCAAAGGTACTCTCTCCCCTACAAGATGGGGGGGTATATTTTTAGAAGTTTATATAATATTGGAGAATATATTTATGACCTGAACATAGGGAAATATTTCTTAAACAAAACACAAAAGTACTAACAATAAATGAAATACTGATAAATTGGACTTCATGAAAATAAAGTAAATCCAGGAAACACCATTAGGAGAGTAAAAAGGCTAACACAAAGACCCCTCTCCCAGATACACACACTCGTCCACACACGTACATAGATCCTTGATCTCCCTGAAGGCTCACATGCTCAATGTTGCAGTCAGTGACTCTCATCCCGGCACACAGGGTGTTGGCTGCTCTCTCATTATTAGGCACCCTGAACTGGACAAATCCTACAACAAATTCATCTGGAAAAGAAAGGAGTGGAGCATTCATAGGAGGAACAAGAAGCAGCTTCCTTTAGCCTGCTCAGGAATTCCCTACTCCAAAAGCTGAGGCTACAGTCCTGCACACCAGTCTGTGGGATGGAGCCCAGCTCATCTGTATCCAGTGGCTGGTGTACATGACCAGGAGAGAGCCTCTCCGCAGCTCCACAGATTACAGAGGACAAAGGCTTGACCTCATAAGAAGCCCCTTGTTAGCCTACTGCCTAAAGAGGAAATTAAACTCAACAAAAGATCATTGTGAAGACCTCAACAGGTACAGTGGCAATAAACACTTAACAAATTGTGTCTAAATTTCTCTGATTACACATTTCTCATCCAATTACATCTGTTTGTTTTCCCTACAATCATCTGCTTTCATTGGAATATCAAATGCAAATATGAATGGTTTTGATTTGCCCATCAGACACTTAACTTCTGTGGTTTTATTATACTAAATATTGTACTCTTTTTAAAGATAATTACAGCTATGTTTCATAATAAATATAAACTTTTCTCATGACTTTACTAGCTGTCTTTTCCAATGAACATTAACCTGCATTTTTCTTAACTATTAAGAGAAACCATACAGGGTGGTTAGGAATACAGGTTATAGAGTGAGCGCCTGAAGTTAGATCCTGGTTCTGCTGCTTATTCACCATGTGGCTCTCAGCAAGTCCCCTGATCTCTCAGTGTTCTGCCACTCAATCTGTAAAGTGGCAACAATAGTCTTTCTAACTTCATAAGTTTCTCTTGATGATTAAAGGACACAAAACCATGCCAAGTCCCCAAGAAAGAGGTTGGCCCATTTTAAGTGCTCAGTAAATGTTTCCAATTGTTACTGTTGCTATATACCATCCCTTCCCCAAGAATACAGAGAAGAACTGATGACTGGGCTTAGAGAGTAAACACTCATTCTGACCATGTGATGAGTAATAAGATGCTGTTTTCTGAGCATCACCAAAGTCATAGGTGACAGGTATCGCTGGGCCATTGTCAGTTGCACACTTCCCTATTCCGTATTTGACTGGGTATTTCTGCAGAGACCCACATGGAGGATGTGTCAGGACAGCAGAGATGCTACCATCATCCGATATGAGGGGAGGGCAGCTCACTTCAAGTTAGCTGTCATTATTCAGAAACCAGTCTTAATAAGAGTGACTCCTTTTCTCATGTATGTTTTTCCAGCAGCGAAAAGGCCTTTTTCTTGTTCCACTTTCCCCAACCCTCATCTTCCATACAGCTGGCTCACAGTTCCTCAGAGATAGGGAGGACATGAGTTCACTGTAAACCAGAAGGAGGAGAAACAGCCAACTACAGACCGGGGTGATGTGGGACCACAGAAAGCAGACTCACTCCCCACCCCAAACACTTTACTCTCTAGTTATTAAACAAACTGCCCAACCCTGTGCCTGTGTACCTGGTAGAAGCCAACTAGTTTATACCCCAGATTCTGGAAGAAGCTGTTGTCGGTGCAGTATCTCAGCAAGGAGCTATTCTTCCAAAGCTCCAGTGGGGACTTGCTGGGCACATGCCAGATGCCCAGATTCTGCTCCTGGATATCATAGTAGCCAGGGTTCTGCAGAGCAGTAGACATGAACACTGACAACCCTGAAGGGCACATGAAGCAAAGGACCCAGCACATATGCAGCCCTCAGTTGTATTGAGAGCCTTTGGATCCGGGTGACCAGATGGCCAGCAGTGCTTAGACACCCCCTCTTGAGAAATGATGACTTCTCAAAATCATTCAAACCCCTGAAAGCCTGGAGGAACTTGGGATTCAAGACATGTAAGGAATTCCTTCTTCTTCAACCCTAACCCCCCTCCCCTACTCCCAATGCTCCCTTCCACATACTATGCTCCAGTCACACTCATATTTCCCAAGTGGGTGGTGATTGGCACCAACCTTGTAGTCATCGCTCATAGATCCCTCTGCAGATCCAAAGGTGTTGTAATTGGCCCAGTTGCCATCCCCCTCTGGGTAGTCTTCTCTGCTGCCCTGCTGACTGGACCAACAATCACCCACAGTGCACTTTCCATGCATGTTGTTCTCATGCACACTAACCACCAGAGTCCAGCTGCCACCTCCAGTGGTCATGTCACAGAAGGTCTGGTAAATGACACCATTCTCAGTGCAGAGGAAATACAAGCCATCTGCAGAGGGAACCACAAAGAGCCTCCCTGTCTGAGAGCACTTAACCAGAAGGGCTCTGAGAAGTTCAGAGTATACCCTGAAGACACCAATACATATCCACCTGGAAGATAATTCTTCTCAGGCCTCCATCATTTCTGCTCATCTTATGAGCAGAGGCAGTTTCTGCCTTTGATGAACACTATTTTGTCATAGATGTTTGTATAGCAAACATCCTTAAAAGATATAGTGTTTCCTTCTGGGTAACAGATTCTCTCTGGCTTGTTGTTGTTGTTGTTATTTGCCGTCGAGTCGGCCCCGACTCATAGCGACCCCTCCTTGGGTTTCCGAGGCAGTATCACTATGGAAGTAGGATTGCCCAACCTTCCTTCCGAGGAGTGGCTGGTGGGTTTGAACTGCCAGCCTTCTGGTTAGCAGTCAAGTGCCTTAGGTACTATGCTACCAGAGCTCCCTCTCTCAAGGAATCTGCCTCTTATAATGGTCAGTAACCATACCTTCCCTTTGCTCTGAGATGCACAGAGGTCTCCAACTATAGACTGAAGCCTGGAGATGTCCAAGTTCTAATAAGACCTGAGGCCTCCTACCCTGCCTCCCCACCCTTGTGGTCCAGCTGCAGGTTATTAAATTGCTTAGCAGCAGCACGGATTGGCTCCTTAGTAGCAAAGCACCCCAACACTGATGTTATGTTTTCATTTGGCACTTTTGTGTCTGTGTAATCTGTGACACAAGGAATGCATGAAGGCAACACTTTGTGATCTTGACTTTGCTGTCTATGCGAGTAATAAACTGTTTCAATCTAAAAGGTGTTCATTGTTTCTTTACAGCCAAAATTTGTCCGCCTGCTTGACAAATCCACTACCAAACACCTGGACCTCTTGCATCACTCTATATAGAATTAGGACTCAGAGGACCAGCACAAGAAAATACTGATACTCAGGCTGTTGCTCCTGCTAGTGCTGTGAATCACAAAGTTCTTTGTCTCTGACTCAGGGGTCCAGTGTTTTTTACCAGCATCAATAAAAGTATGCCAGGCTAACTAATTGTGAGCTTACAAGTAGATTAAATGTCAGACCCTTCACAGTTCTTGTCACCACCCTACATGTCCTAGGAACACTGCATTCTTCCTGTGTCCAGAAGATCATGTTTCATGTTACTGGGTTGTCATAAGAAAGACTCAAAATTCCCATTGGAAACCTTTTTGAGTGGGAGCTGGAGTCAGACAAACAGTAGTGCTGGGTACATATCTTTGATTTCCATGACTGGGTTCTGTTTAGATAAAAAGTGGCTCCAAGGAGAGAATGCTGGCATTGTTGCATTACTCACCACCTGCGTGATGGCAACTTTATTTGATTTCTTTGCAGCTTCTAGGCAGGGAATGGAGGGAGGAAGCACAGAAGTTGCTTTCCTGGAACATCTCAGGAGGATAGTTCACTGCGAGAGGATGTGATAATACTTCTCATTAATAGTCTGGAGGTGCTGACACCATCTTTCTTGTCCATCAGTTCCCAACTTCTGCCCCAACAGTAGTTTCTCACTGTTTATAATATAAGACCCCAAGAGGTCAGGGACTCTCTCTGCTAAGACTGTCTGACCCAAGATTTAGCACAGGTTTCACACTTGAATTCTCCCACTCAACTAACTTTAATTAAGTCCCTACTGAGTGCACCATATAAACACTGGGCACTCAAAGACAATTTGACACATGTCTTTAAGAGATTACATTCTAGAGGGAGGAAACACATAAAAAAGACACCCAAATGAGAATGGGGAGGAAGAGAGGAGCCCATTGTGGGGGAGAAGACAGGGAACTTTGTGGAGAAGGGGGAAGATATACTTCAGAGAAGGTTGGTTCTAATTGGATGAACAGAAAATGGCTATAAGACAGAGAGATGGGGAAGATAAGGGGAGGAGCACGAAAATGTCATGAAGGGGTATTAGAGCATGGTCCAGCCATTCAAAAAACTATAGGTGAGTCACTTACATATAGTGGAGCCTAGGAATTACTCTGAAAGCCTGGCCAACTGGAGAAAAAGGTAAGCTTTGAATTAAAGGACTGAAAATCCCAAACAACCTATGATGGCAGAGCCCCCTTGGGAAGACACTTGATGTGTTTGATTCCACTCTCCACATTTCTCCACCTTGTTCTTCTTTAAAATGTCACTAATAAACTCTTTTCAGCCTTTGGAGATCAAATGAGATGGTATATGTAATTGTACTTTTTAATAATAATAATAATAATAAACCTCACTGCCATTGAGTTGATTCTGACTCATAGCAACCCCCACTGAGTTTCTAAGGCAGTAAATCTTTACAATAGATGACTCCATCTTCCTTCCTCAGAGTGGTGGCTGGGTTTGAACCACCACCAACCTTTTGGTTAGCAGTCAAATGCCTTAAGCATTGGACTTTTTAAAATAAATTAATTAAAGTAAGTACTAGAACCCAATAACAACGAAAACTATCAACACTATGCCTATTGTGAGGAATGTAATTATGAGGCTAGGGATTAGTGGAGGATGTTCCATGGGCACATCACTGAACACACAGCTTCCTGTGAAGAACCTGAGGCCAAGAGTGCAGGAGCAGTAGTGGCTGGGAGGTGACACAATCCCTACTTACCATCCATCCCTGAGCCCCCTCACAGCCACACAGAGACACTGAGGAGGGTGCCCCAGGATATGCCTCAGCCAACACTTTGATTGAATGAGACCAGACCCCAAAAGAAGACAGAAACCAGCATCCAGCCAGTATCTCATGACTGCTGCCAAGTGTGGTCCTGTGCATCTCACTGACTCTTCCTCTGGTCCAGAAGTAAAGAACAACCCGGCCTAGCACCATTCCTCCCACTTAACTGAACACCAGATGCAAGCTGAAGGAACTGCTGCTCCTGTGAGCTATTTACCAGCACTCCACCCTCTGGTGGCCATCGAGAGGAACAGCAGGAAACAGAGTCTGGCCATTGTTCTCTAAGGAGAAACAAGATGCACAAAGTCAGTGGCTGGATCATCCTTTCTATAACGCTCACCTTTGTTCTTTGAGTTTTCTGAATCAGGAAACCTCAAATGGAAAGTGATGGCATTCTAGACATTCTAGAAACTCCCAGAATAGCCTCCACCAATGTCCAGCTTTACAAATACCCCATGAGTTATGGAATTCTTTCCCTGGAATACAAAATCTCTGAACTAAGACCAGACAGGAGCTGGCATCAGGGCTCCCTCCTCACATGAACCTTGTCTCAGAAATCTCTTCCTCCCAAGCACAGAAATCTCACTCTTTCAGTCTCACAGATGCTGGAGCTGAAGTAGTCTGCCAAATGGGGATTCAGAGCTTCCTCTGCACAGGATCCTGGTGTGGGGTGAAGTGCTGAGCCCTTTAGGGGGAGAGCCAAACCATACAAGCCCAGCCCAGCCCTGCCCACCCTGCCCAGTTCTTCCAGATTGCTGGTCCCTCCCTCTGACTTCCTTCCCTTTGAGGGTACTTAAGAATGAGAATGGATATGTGAAAGGCAATAGGAGCAGGGAGTTGCGGCAGGTCACACAGGTGACACTCACTTGCTTTTTTAGGGTGTGTTTCATGAATAAGAGAATAGATAGTCACCTACACAGTGTTATATCACATAATAACACTGTCATAGTAGATCACGACTTACAGTGCTTCCCCTCTCACCTGTGATCAGATGCTGTAGGACCCCAGGCACAACTGTTCAAACATCATCCTTAATGATTTTCTCCTTAAGTTTCTCTGTGAAGCTTTCCTTGATTGATGCCCCATCCCCAGGCAAAGCTGATGGCTGCCTCCTTTGTCTAAACCCCAAGTACTACATTTACCTCACTGTGATTGCATTACTTTATTAACTTTTTGTTCAGAAATAATTTAAAACTTACAAAACAAAAACATTGCAAAAATATTTAAATTATATACCAAATAAATAAATAAATCGCACTGTTAACAAGTTGATTCCGACTCATAGCGAC